CCGCCCCTCTGTGTGTGTGTGTGTGTGTGTGTGTGTGTGTGTGTGTGTGTGTGCCTGTGTTTGCATGTGTGTGTGTGTGCTTTGGCAACATGCTGCTTTTGTGTGTGTGTGTGTGTGTGTGTGTGTGTGTGCTTCGGCGACATGCTGCTTCCTATGAAGTAATGATGTCCCACAGGAATATGCAACCCATTTGACTGAGTGGCACACTTATGTAACTGTTGATGCACAGATTATGAGTTTGAATCCTAGAATCAGATGGGATGCAGGTCGCTACCCCTCTCCTGAGTCCCCTGTGAAAAAAAAAAAAGGGAAATTGGGTTCTTGGAATGACACATGTCATTTCCATGGTGGAGAACAGATTTCACAGGTATGTTGTGTTGTAGCATCCCGAACGTCCAACACCTCCACACCAACTGTTAGACTCCCACAGGGATACTAAAGTGTTGAGCCTGGTCACACCACCACTGCATTTACATTTTTTTTTTTTTTTTAAATCACGGCATTTAAATGAAATGAAATGTACCACTGCATTTACATTAAAACTGGTCGAATGGATATGTAACTGTTAGTAGACAGGTCATGAGTTCGGGTTCTGAATCTCTGATGGAATAGACCAACAAAGAGATAATAGGGTGTACCCCCTTTCAGAAAAGGAAGAACGAGAAATGGGGCAGGAAACTGAAACTCACCGTTTTCCGTCTGTCACACAGTCCAAGTGAAATGTGGTGACGCTCTTGCCAGCAGGAGCATTAAAACAGACGACCTTGTCACTACTACTACCTGGTAGTTTGTTTCACACAATCTGGATGCTTACTTCCCTAAGTAACTTTAACTGTGATCACTGTCCTCGCTCATTCTTGCCGTTGTAGTCTTCGTTAATGGCGCGCCCCCTTCTCAAACTCCCCAGGGAACCCCCACTTTTCAACCTGTGATTTGGGTTTCTAGATGGCTATCTTCATCTGGTCCGTTGCTGGATCTCGCCAAATGGCAGTCCGTTGGTGAGGGCTGACCGGTCGGTCGGACTACAGTGGTTCGACATTTCGGGAAGTGGTGAAATAAGAGTTAAAAAACAGGAGTGCGAAAAGAGTTAAAAGTTTAAACTAAAGCTGACAGTCAATCCTCCAATTCAGTGGAGTAATCAACGCTGATCAGGGACCCTTCGGCCACACGGAAGGGCATGTGTGGGTTCCAGGTTGCATTTCTGCATTTCTGACTTGCCGGTGGAATAGGAACCGGACTGACGCCCCCTAGAATTGATATGGGCCCAGGACCATAAGGACCTGTTAATTTGTTAAACAAAAAAAAAAACAAAAAAAAACAAAAAAAAATCCTCGAAGCTCTCGGCGAACGAATATCTTGGCCCTGACAACGAAGAAGAGCGCAGTGAAATGGGATACTCAAAGTGATTTTTTGAAGGAGTCTGGCGTTTTGCTCAGCAGGTGGAACTCACTGATGTTAAGTAAGGTTACATTCAGAGTTAAAACACCCAGAAGGAATTCTAGCAGTAACTGTCAGTAAGTGAAAAAAAAAAAAAAAAAAAAAAAGCAGCAGCAGCTTAGTCTTGCTGCTGGACCCAGCCTTTGCGCCCGGAATGTGAAGCAGTCCATCCATCTTCCTATAGCTAACACGTCTACTGTTACGATCCTGGCCAATTTCGAAGTATACATTCATTAGAAAGTACAATGCCGTCCAATTGCAAAAAGAAATGAATGAACTTGAGAGGAGAGAGAGGGAAAGAAGAAGAAGAAGAAGAAGAAAGAAAGAAGAAGAAGATGATGTACTCCAGCATAGACCAATGACAAGGCTCTTCTTCTTCGCCAACCAATCTCGTCCCCTCTTATTCAAACAAGAAATAACAATAATGATGTTGAATGGCTGAACCAGAATTAATGTCCGAATCCCACTTCTACTACAGGCACAACATGAGGTCCACCATAGCCATGGCCACCCTTCCTCTTCCTCTACATGCAGGCCGAGGCTATGGCGGAGCACTGAGGACTCTACCCTCCGGTCCAAAGGACAACCCAAAGCAGCTGTGTCGCTGCCTCCCTGTGCAAAGGACAACGCAAAGCAGCTATGCCGCTGCTCACTAGGCCGCCATGCCTGTCTCTGCCCCGAGCTTCCTTGGTGCGGCACTACCCCAACGGGGGCCTTCCAGATGCAGCGCCTAACAAGGTGATGAAGATGGTGTCCACCGTAGCCAGGTAAGTACCTCGCCACTCTCCTCCTTGGTCCCCTTCTTCCTCCTCCTCCCACTGGTAGAGCTCCACCATAGCCAAGGTGGAAGCTCCTGGCTTCTTCCTCCCAGCAGCGCTGTAGTACCCGGCCCTACTCCAGCCAGCGCTCCAGCAGCGTGTCGCCAAACTTGCACACTGAAGAATGAGGCCGAGCTCATCCCTCGGCCTCCTGATATAGCGGCCTACTTGCCTCCTGGGCGGTGACTTCCCGGCCGCTCGGCCTCCCAAGCAACCGGTACCTCCTCCCTTTCGGAGGGAAACATCATTGCAGACTCTGATATTGGCCGCACAGGCTCTAGACTCAGACTGGATGGACTGGTACCGGCCTAGACCTAGCCTACCGCTACTGGGCCTCTAGTAATGCCAACTTTGTCTTCTTCTGCTCGGCCTCGAGTACCCGGCACATCTACTGCTACTGGGTGTGGTACCGGCCTACCTGCTACTTGAGTGTTTTTCCGCTACTCCAAGGGCCGCGGGCCTCTGGCTCCGCCACTTGAGTGTTTTCCCCTGCTGCAACCCTCAATGCCACGGCCACAGGTAAGTACCGGCCCTACGGGCCTGCCAAACAAGCAAGTACCCTTGCGGGTCACGCACACGCTCATGCCGGCAAGCACTCAGACAGGCACGCAAGTCAACAGGCATGCACACATACAGACTTAGAAAACACAGCAGAATGCGGGAATCTCAGCAAGGCATCCATTCCATCGGCAGAACTTCAGAAATCAGCAGTGTTCTCAGTCTGTGTTATGGCGGGTCATTACACTACACTCTGCCAGGGGGTTCTATGGATGTTCATGATGGTGTCACCTGCATTTGCTTGCACCTTCGTCCTTGTCTCCGAACTGGTAAACTAATTAATGCACCCAAGAAGTCATCCAGACTCGCACCCTGCGTCTATCCACATGCAGTAGTGTTGTTGAGTAGTGGAGCAAAGGCGCAATGATATATAACTATATGATGCTGGTGGCCAAGCTCCTGGTTGCAAAAAACGTGTACCGACTGGTCCTAGTCCGCATATCCCTTTTGCTCATCGCACTATGGTTGCTTCTAACTCGCTACCTTCTTCGCTCGAATACAATGTACGGTCATTACAGCTGTATTTAGACTGAAAGATGCCTCGAATATAGTTATAATGACCGTGTGTTGTATTCGGGGGGGGGAAGGAGGCAGTCACCGTTCTTCTTGACAATCAGGTGAGCAAGTCTTTTTCGGAATATTTAATAGAAAGTTGAAAAACAGAAACTGCGTGATGGCCAATAGTTGTGGCGTTGGTTTTTATTTTTCTTCTTTTTTGATTTGGACCACCAGAAAGTTGCAGAAACTTACAGTTTTTTTTTTTTTTTTTTTTTTTTTTTTTTTTTTTTTTTTTTTTTTCATTTAGTCCATCAGTACCTCTCCGAGCGCATTCTTCGGATGAACAGAGCTACCGGACCAAAATGGCTGGCGTCGCCAGCTGAAAAAGGAAAGAAAACATGCTGCTCGCGCTTCGCTCTTTTCTGGTGCGCAGTGAATATCCGCGTTGGGAAAAAAAAAAAAAAGAGCCTCGGACTCGGAGGTACTGGTGGTTTAATGTTGTGTATGCAAGTGACGGGATGATGGCTGTGAGCCTGTGAGCTGAAAAAAAGAAAAAAAGAAAAAAAAAAAAGAAGGGAAACTGGTTTAACTGGCCCCCTTGTTGGTTTGTGCAGCAACTTGGTAAGTAATCTGTCGTCAACACTTCTCTGACATGTGTGACAACGAAACATCATTCTTTTTTCTCTTTTGTGAAGTAAAAGAAGTGCAACCAAAAAAGAAGAAAAAAGAGGACCAACAGCGCTCTGCAAAGTCGCAGTTTGTACGGGGCAATTGAAACTCGTTAGGGGTGTTCAATGTTGCCATGGTGAGGCTGTAATTTTTTTTTTTTTTTTTTTTTTTGAAGTGATTGAGCGTCGCTTGATGATTGTTGTCTAGGGCGGTAATGTCTAGGTCTCCGAATATAAGAGGAGGCGAAAAAAAAAAAAAGGAGAGAGGGGAGTGTTTTTTAAGTTTTTTCTTACGCAAGGAGTTTGTGGACCATTACATGCCCTGCTGGATGAATGGATCTCGGGTACAACTGTTTGTAATCAGGTTGCAACTTGCAAACTCAAACTTTGTTGAGGTTCTAATCCTGTTATTTTCTGCTAATGGTAGGGGCCAAGGCTCTTCTTCTTAAAATAAAAAGAAAAAAGAAAAAAAAAGGGGGGGAAAAAAACAGAATGTGTCACTGCAGCTGTCTACAGTACATGATGTTCCTCATCGTCGGGTGGCATGCCAGCTTCACTCCACACCTTTGCTATGAATTGGGGTAGAGGTGAAGGCGCCAGAGCAAACACAAGGAACTTCTACAATCTGCTGACCGTGTACAGTTGGAGCTCGCGCGTACGCGCGCTCGTGCGCAATGCGGAGAGAGAGAGAAAGAGAGAGAGAGAGAGAGAGAGAGAGAGAGAGAGAGAGGCTTGACTATTCAGTGTGTGTCTGGCATCTTGCTGGTGCATGCTTGCTTCCCTTTTCGTTCACTTTCATGGGCAGCAACTCCTGGACGGGGAAACGCAAAGTGCCTCGCTTGAAACTGCCTCTCCTCTCAGAGGTGGGGATGATACTACGATAGTCGTATCCGTTCGACTATCGATCCCGGAGGGGTTCCAGTTATCTCAGTGGAACCCCTTTTAGAGATTGTCATTCTCAGGGGTCATCATCTAATGTGCAGTGTTTTCTTCGTTTGGGCCCATTGTTGTCCATAACTTAGACTCTTAGAAGTCTGGGACCAGAGGTCTGGGAACAGAGGAGTCTCAAGGTTGCAGCAGATGAGGTGTGCACAAGTGTAACCCACCTGCTGTGCGTCTCGGTTATGTAACGTCTCGGTTGCTTTTGAATTACCTGTCAATTTGTGTCTGAGCAGCCGGCTATGGTGTCAGTCCCGACTCCTGATGGAATTGTGACATGATCAGAAAAGTAGGTAAGGTTTGATCTTTGAACCTTGATTTGGGACTCAGGTTTGGGGCTAAGGTTTGTTTGGGACTCAGGTTTGGGGCTAAGGTTTGTTTGGGACTAAGGGTGCTTTGGGACTAAGGGTGCTTTGGGACTAAGGTTTGTTTGGGACTAAGGTTTTTTTGGTGCTAAGGCTTGTTTGCAACCAAGCTTTGGGGCTAAAGTCTGTTTGAGACAGGTTTGGGACTAAGGTTTGTTTGGGACAGGTTTGGGACTAAGGTTTGATCTTTGAACCTTGGTTTGGGACTAGGCCTGGGGCTAAGGTTTGTTTGGGACTAAGGGTTTTTTTGGACTAAGATTTGTTTGGGACTAAGGTTTTCTTGGGACTAAGGTTTGTTTGCAACCAAGCTTTGGGGCTAAAGTGTGTTTGGGACAGGTTTGGGACTAAGGTTTGTTTGGGACAGGTTTGGGACTAAGGTTTGATCTTTGAACCTTGGTTTGGGATTAGGTCTGGTGCTAAGGTTTGTTTGGGACTCAGGATTGGGGCTAAGGTTTGTTTGGGACCAAGGGTTTTGTGGGACTAAGGGTTTTTTGGGACTAAGGGTTTTTTGGGACTAAGGGTTGTTTGGGACTAAAAGTTTTTTTGGGACTAAGGTTTGTTTGCAACCAAGCTTTGGGGCTAAAGTGTGTTTGGGACAGGTTTGGGGCCAGAGTGGAAAGCACGTTGGTTCTGTTTCTGAGTCAACGTAGGTTGTGATCCAGCCCAATCCTAGGGTTTAGCAGGGGCATGTGGCGAGGCGCCCATGCAGGTCACCCGGCTGTCTTGCCGCCGGGGGAACAGCAGGCATGTAAAGACTCTGGGATGGTTCCTTGACTCCCCCCCCCCCCCTCCTCAGCAGCCGAAATCCGGGCTCTTTCTTGTGTTTCAGCGTTGTCTGTTGGGGTGGGAAAAGGGGGTTTGTAAGTGGGGCTCAAAGGGGCTGAAGGAGTTTAAAGTGGGGTGCCTGAGTTTGGTTTTTTAATTCTTTTTCTTTAATCTTCGACTCAATAAGGAGTTACGACATGATCCTCAGCCAAAAGTTGTTCGGATTGTTTTTTATATCTTTTTTAGCTGTTTCACAAACAGTGAGGAATACTTTCCCAACTTTTGACTTTTCCTATTTGCTATGAGTTGATCCTATAGCAGGTTTTGCTATCACCCCTGACACCACTTGTGTGCTTCACTGTGTCTATCCTGTTTGGAACTACAGTGGAGAAAAAGCCTGGTTTTGGGAGGGGAGGAGATGGTGAAGGCCATCACAATTGACGGGGTGAAGGCGTTGCGGCAGATCATCAATGCGACAGTGCATGATGTGCTCTTTTATATGAGCACAGTCTACTGCCAAGACATCATAGACTCGGTAAGACCCGTTGCTCTGTGCAGTGCCTCTTCTTGCCTATCTTTATGTCGCCCGAGTACGTAAATCTGATCTCCAATCTTTGTTTTTTTCTTCTTTTTTTGTGGTTTGCTTAACCCATCAACACCAGGCCCTTCTATTCTGGGGGGCATCAGTCCAGTTGCTTATCTCCAGCAAGCACCGTCTTTTATACAATTTGAAACAAGCAAGAAGGGGGGAGAACAGACAGAGAAGAGAGACAGCCTGCCCTTGTGGCTCGAGCCGCCTACTCAAGGTGGGGTTGCCACGCTGCCGACCCCTCCCGCCTTTTGGCCTTTCCTTGGAGATTGTCCTGCAAATCGGGGGGCTTACTTGCAGCACCCAGTCACACGGGAGGAGAAGGTCCAAGGGATCAAGGCACAGGGGGGAAGGAGTGCCCTGCCAGCCCCTCTGCCAGCATGTTACTTGCTCAACTCATTTCCACCCTAATTGCCTAGGCTCTACCTTCCGGATCTCCAATCGTTTCTTTTTCTTCTTCTTCTGTTTTCCCTTTTTTCAAATAGCAGGTCCTTATGGCGCTGGCTCCATATCCATCCCGATCTCCAATCTTGACTTGTATGTTGATGTGCAAATTTGAAATTTGTATTGATACTATTGAATAATTTAAATTACTATTTTACGGTATTACCACTTCTCGTCAACGATAATTATTAATTATTGTGCTCAGAATCTGCTATAAATTCCTGTAGGGTTAAAAAAAAAAAAAAGAGTTTTAAAACTTAAAAGTGGACCACTTTGTGATTTGTGCTTGACAAAGTTGGCATCCTAATCTTCTCTTTTCTGTAGTGTTCCAATTTTAACCCCCCTGTAGTATTTTATTTTGAGGGGAACCCCTACGAATCTTGGTCCTCCGACAGTTCAACACACTGAGGATGGAACAATCTGACTATTATGAATTTATGATTACGGTGAGGACTTTCCCAGAAGTTTCCCCGCTATTCATCAGATGAGTCTTTTTTTTTTTGGGGGGGGGGGTGCAGAACCGACACTAGTCAGCCAGGTGTGTGTGTGTGTGTGTGTGTGTGTGTGTGTGTGTGTGTGTGAGAGAGAGAGAGAGAGAGACAGTACATTTAGACTCCGGATATCGAATTGATTGGTATTTTTTCCCCGTTTCAGCGGGGCATAGCCGCACTGGCTTTACTTGTGTTTTTTTTTTTTTTCATCTATTGTAATGTCTGGCCTGCAGGTTTCCTTTGTGCATTGCAGACAGAAATCTGTGCTGTCAGTCATGCTAAAGGTCTGTCCATGTGTCCGCTAAACTCTGCTGCCAGTTGTGAATCTTTTTTTTTTTTTTAACTTTTCTCTTAAGTTTTAAATCATGTTACTAAATAGTAAATTTATTTGTTGTGTTTAGCAATTTTTGATACCCCCCCTTCTCCTCCTTGTTTTTTCCATTGGTTTGTGAGTGCAGGTCACATCCTCCCTCAACAACCTGTATAGAAAGTTCATCCGGCGCAACCCCGACTTCGATGGAAAGGTAAGCTAAGGGAAACACTATCAGCTGCCTCGTGCATGAACGGTACGCACACTACGCAGATAACTGCTGATAAAAAAAAAAAAAAACAAGGTCGCAAATGGATCTTCAGGGTCGCTTCGGCTCAAGCGGTTCACTGAGGTGACAAGACAACAAAATCAAGGTTGCAAACGCCAGGCAGGTCTCTCCAGGCGCTAAGGGCAGCGGATGTGCTGGACGCGAAGTGCTATTGTTTGTCAAACGATTGATCTTCAGGGTCAGTAGCGGAACATTCCGTGCATTGAAGAAGGGTTGTGCTGATCGGCCCCAGGGAAATGCACAGTTTCTTAACTTAATTTTCACTCAGTTGATTGAAAAGTTGATTCCCTTGGAATTCGAACTCATGTCTCCATAACTAGTGGCAACGTATCTTTCCATTTCTAGTGAAAGGTTCATTCTCATTTTGTACAATTGCTGACTTGTGGAGCAAGGCCATATGTCGTGATTTGAGCCCTGGTCTTGCAGGTGCATCTCTTTGCCTTCTTCTTTCTGGCTGGTTTTATTGTTATGGGTCTTCGTCAGCCTTCCTCCCCCTGCTCATAACTATCTCTTCCCTGAATTACACACCCGTGTGCATGCTTGCAATTAGCATCAGAGATTCTGAACACACCAATCCAGCATATCCCAGCGCCTGCAGGCTTTCTAAGATTTGAAAAACAATTGAGTGTGCACTGTTTCAGTGTCGACACGCGTAAGTCACAACAGGTTTGAAAGTCGAGATGATTCTTTTCAATTCTGAGATAAGATTATGTCCGGTAGGATGATTCGTCGTTAATGCTGCTTCCTCGTTCTTTCACTCCTTCGGATTGCCAGAGGAATTTGAGCTAAGCCACAGGAAATGTACCCACGTGCATGTGTGTGTGTGTGTGTGTGTGTGTGTGTGTGTGTGTGTGTGTGTGTGTGTGTGTGTGTGTGTGTGCGCGTGCGCACACAATCATGCATGTGCTCGCTTTGTTTGTGGATTCTGATGGCTTCAGGTTTCAATATATGGCCATTCTTTGGGAAGTGTACTTAGTTACGATATTCTGTGTCATCAAGTCGGCTCTGAAGCACCGCCAGCAGCATTGAGAATACCACAAGAAATTTGTCGAACTGCAGAGGAGGGAGGATCGTTGTCTGGAAACGTATGTGCCAACGATGGTGGTTGTCAGCAGAGAGAAGAAGAGGAAGACGAAGCAAGGGGGGTGGAGGTTTTGGGTGCAGAAGGGACCGAGGGCTTGAAGGCGGCAACATCGGAGGATCATGAGGACGAGGTTGAAGCAAGCCAGGAGATACGAAGCGACGAGCGGGCTTTTGCGTTATCCGGAGCACGCCAGAGCAGTACAGATCCATATGGGGGCCCAGATTTTGCTGCTGAAGAAGGACAACCAAATGCAGCACAATACTCTGATGGGAGTGCTGAAGAGATTGCCAGACTAAGATCCGAGGTGGGTTGTCTTTGTCCCAAAGTGTATGTGAGGACTTTATACTGGCAGGCTGGCAGCCACGGATGAAATCTCTCTGATGGTAACTTGCTACCCTCATCTCTTCATGCCTGTGTGTGTGTGTGTGTG